ACACCAGGAAAGCCGCACTCCAGGCCGACCAATAATTACTGTGCTCTGTAACTGTGACAGTACAGTACCACGCATTTGACAGTAAATCACACCCTTTATTTTCAGATCATAGACAATTTCTGATCATAGACAATGATTCCATTAGTGTCCTTCCCATGTTTAAAATTAGCAACGCCCTGCATTAGTATTCTCTAACATTCAGAAATACAAACATTATAAAAATATACTCATCCTTGTCCTGGCTGGTTTCACTCAGTGGATTGAGCCAAACCTGTGGACTGAAGGGTCCCAGGTTTGACTCCGCCCAGGGGCACGTGCCCAGGTTGCAGGCTTGATCCCCAGTGGGGGGTGGCATGCAGGAGGCAGCTGATCGATGATTCTCTCTTATCATTGATGTTTCTACCTCTCCTTCTCTTTCGCTCTAAAATCAAGAAAAATATATTAAAATATATGTGTGTGTGTGTGTGTATATATATATATATATATATATATGTATATATATACTCATCTTTGAAAACTCCAGTGTTTCTAGTGTACAATACTTCCACTTTGGCAATGCAGAGTCTGCAAGCTGACCCCATCTCCACAGAGATGACCGTGTTCTAGGATTTCAAATGGTTCTGTGGGTTACAGCAAGAGAATGACGCAAGTGTACGCTGTAACAAACATTTCCCCATGGGACCAAGGACTTGAAACTGAAACCAACGCTCCAGTTCCAGTCCGACTAGCGGTGGGGGAAGCGGGTGGTCACTGACGTTCAGGAGAAGTGCCACAGGGAGAGGCGAGCGGGCTCCCCGAGCAGCAGAGCAACGCCAGGCGGCGATGATCTGTCCGTCTGGCTGCCGCACAGACGAGGACCCCACATGTCCTCCCGCCAGACGCGGCCTGCGCCTGAAGGCACCCCGTTCTCCACTGAAGATGCTTCACGTCGGGACGCGCTGCAAAGGGAGAACGGGAGCGGAAGCCTGACTCGGGCAGGTGACAGCCAGTGGCCCAGCTCGCAGCAGGCCCTGGACTTCAGGAGGGACAGCAGCCTGAGGGCCACGGTCATGGGTCTCACACAGACAGCTGTTTGAAGGCACTTCTGCAAAGTCAGTAGGAGTGGGGGAGAGCGGGTTTTAAAAGTTCATCTTCCACTGCAGCAACAGTTGCACTGCTACCATGTTGCAAAATGACAAGTGCACTTGGCAGATCAGCGGCTCATCAAAAATCAACTCTTAGAAACTTCTAGATTCCAAGAGTCTATAGGTACAAATGTGCAAACCCTGACGACATCTTCAGAATGCTTCTGAAAGGCCAGGCCCTGGCTCCTGAGCTCCCAGCTGCCTCGGCCCTGCTCGGATGGAGGTCACTGGAAATCCAGCCGCGACTGCACAGTCTTGCAGCCCCGGTCCGAGTAGATTTTTTCACCTTTGGGGTAAAACGTCATTTCCTCTGCCACTCTGGTGACAACGTCTTCGTCTATGGCGGAACCGCGGGCCTTCATCTCTGCCCGCACACACATCTTCACATGCGTGTACTCCAGGGGCAGGAAGGGGATGAAGTAGTCGATGAGGCTTTTGTCTATCAATCCGCTGCGCCACAGGCCACCTGCAAAACAGCGCGTCACGGTCACCTGGCGAGCTCGCTGCTCTCAGGGCCCGTTCGACCCCGACCACTGCACACCTTCGTGCCTTTACCCCTTGAAAGTCTTTTTGTCAAGCGTGCAACAAACCTGATGTAAGCATCGGTTGGCTGCCCATGCACACTGGCTTCTAGAGCATGTCAACCTAAGAAATGTCCAGCCTGGCCAGTGGGTGAGCATCAAACTATGATCCAAGAGGTCACGGTTCAATTCCCGGTCAGGACAGGTGCCTGGGTTGCAGGCTAGATGCCCCAGGGTGGGGCATGCAGGAGGCAGCCAATCAATGATTCTCTCTCATCACTGATGTTTCTACCTCTCTCTCCCTCTCTGAAATCAATAAAGATATATTTTTAAAAAACACACAACAGAGGAAACATCCAAACCTACAGAGAATTTTTATAAAAATGTATTTTGAGCCAGAGGACATGCCTAGAAGCATGATCTCAGCAAACTGGAAAAAAAAAAGTCCCCAGGAAGGACAGCTTTGCAGCTTTTTTTTTTTTAAAGAGCCCTTATTCTTTTTTAAAAAATATATTTTATTAATTTTTTACAGAGAGGAATGGAGAGGGATAGAGAGTTAAAAACATCAATGAGAGAGAAACATCGATCAGCTGCCTCCTGCACAACCCCTACTGGGGATGTGTCCACAACCAAGGTACATGCCCTTGGCCGGAATCAAACCTGGGACCCTTCAGTCCGCAGGCCGGCGCTCTATCCACTGAGCCAAACCAGTTAGGGCTCTGCAGCTTCTTTTATGCATTTAGGATTCCGGAGAGAAAGTAAGGAAGATGAAATGAAGGTGGGAGAAAGCCAGGCGGGTTGGAATCAGATTAAGACAATATGGGCTCCCTGAGGATATTTACGCCTTTGAGGAGTCCGAGAAAGAGGCTTACTCCAGCAAATCAAGGGTGTTAAGCTAGATGCTCAGAAACATGGGACAGGGCTTGCTTAACCCATTGTTCGCCACAAGCATCCTTAGATGCGAGTGGCAGACCTTCCCCATACACCACGTGTGTCTATAAAAAAAAAGTGTTTTCCCTGGGTGGAAGCCCTGACCAACTTGAAAATCATTTTTCATGAGAATTTTCAGCTGAAAATATTCAAGAACACCTGACTTGGGAGTAATGTATTTTTATAATATTCATTGAGTTGATTTTTTAAATTAAATTAAAAATACCATGGCATGTGGGGATGGTTTCCGTTTTGGACAAGGGGTAGTAACTGGTGAAGGCGAAGATAAGCCTTTCCCTAAAGAAGTTACATGCTGCCCGGCTGGCGGGGCTCAGTGGTTGAGCATCGACCTATGAACCCGGAAGTCAGTGCCGGGAGCCAGTTCCAGCATGTCAGCAGGGCTGAATCATCTGGAGATGGCTAAGGGCATTTCCCCAAACCTGAAAAGGATGTATAAAATGATTGCTTGCTGCCAGACAGCTGAGGGCATTTCAATCTACATGTTATTGCCTCCTACACAGGGGTGGGCAAACTTTTTGACTGGAGGGCCACAATGGGTTCTTTCACTGGACCAGAGGGCCGGAACAAAAGCATGGATGGAGTGTTTGTGTGAACTAATATAAATTCAAAGTAACATCATTACATAAAAGGGTAGGGTCTTTTTTTTCAATAGTTTTATTCATTTCAAACGGTCAGGCGGGCAGTAGTTTGCCCACGGCTGCTCCTACTGGCCAAACACCTGAACAGCCATAGGCAATTCCTCCAATCTGACAATGGATTCTGTATATACTAAACCTGGCCTTTTTTTTAAAAAAAAAAATATATTTTATTGATTTTTTACAGGAAGGGAGAGAGATAGAGAGAGCTAGAAACACCGATGAGAGAGAAACATCGATCAGCTGCCTCCTGCACATCTCCTATTGGGGATGTGCCCGCAACCCAGGTACATGCCCTTGACCGGAATCGAACCTGGGACCTTTCAGTCCACAGGCCGACGCTCTATCCACTGAGCCAAACCAGTTTCGGCTAAACCTGGCCTTTGATGTATATCTACTTTGCCTTAGGACAATTTGTGTTAATAATAAGCAAGAGGTCCTGAGACAAGGGAGAACTTAGTTCCTTAAGCTAAGTCTCCTCTGGCACCCCAAATGCCTTCCAAAATTATGTTTCAGCTCTGGACTCTTTAATCATTTACACACAGTGTCTTCTCCAGATTCCAGAATGCTTCTAGATGCTGGATTAAGGCCACCGGCAAGTCAGGGTTCGATTCCCGGTCAGGGCACATGCCCATGTTTCAGGTCCGATCCGCAGTGTGGGGTGTGCAAGAGGCAGCCGATCAATGATTATTTCTCATCATTGATGTTTCCATCTCTCTCTCTCTCTCTCTCTCTCTCTCTCTCTCTCTCTCTCTCTCCCTTCCTCTCTGAAATCAATAAAAATATATTAAAAAAAAAATTACATGCCTGAGGTATGACTCCCGATCAGGGCCTTCCCAGTTAGGAATTTATGATCAGATCACCCTGTGAGGTTACCTTTCATAGAACCCCTGAGAAAGCCCCTGGCCCGGCAAAGCCCCGGAGGCGAGCGGGTCCTGCGGCCTCTGTGAAAGGCTTGGGGGCGAGGACTGCTGGCAGGTGCAGGGCTGCCCCTGGAGACTCACTGTGCTTGTTGTTGAAGACTCCCACCGACAGCGCGTGCTCCAGGTCTTTCAGCTGGATGTCCTCCCTCCTCCTGCCCGCCCGCCAGAACTCCAGGGCCGTCTTCGTGATGAGGTCCCCGCCTGCATTGCTGAGTTTGCCCAAGAAACAAAGATTAAAACCACATACTAAGACTTCTGTGCCTAGGGGCTGGGGGAGGGAGAAGAGGGTAACGGGGGATAAATGGTGAGGGAGGGAGACTTGACTTGGGGTGGTGAACACACAGATGATGTGTTACAGAATTGTACCCTGAAACCTGTATCATTTTATTAACCAATGTCTCCCCAATAAATTCCATGTAAAACCAAAAAACTTCTGTGTCTAATGAGGAAACACACCTGCTCTAAAGGTTTATACTTAACCAAAGAATATCACTAAGTCATGCTAGACAAAACAGTGTCTGCCCTACAACCTTTGTTTAGAACCTGCTACCCAACGCCACCACTCTACGTAGAAACATGTGCAGTAATGAAATCGCCTGTTAGCAGCCATATTGAACTCATGTCCTGCCCCCTCTGTGCCACGCTGATACCAGCAACCCGACAGCAAAAGAAATCAGGAAGTCACTCTTGCCAGGCTGGCACTTCTGTTCCTGGGAAACAGGATGCCGATGGTCGCCGGACCTCATTCCAGCCCCGGGGGGGGCGAGGGGCAAGTGTGTCCCCGAGAAACCACTTCCCACTCACCTGAGGAAGATGAAGACCGCCTTCCGGTACGACACGCCGTCAACCTGCTCATAGTAGTCCAGAAACGGCTTGATGGCGTCGATGAGCCCGGGGTGCAGTTTATCCATCTCATCAAATATGAACACGGAGCTTGCACAGGCACTCACGTTACCCCGAATCCACGTCTGTAACTGGTCCTAGACCATCCAGAAAAGAAATAGGACGAGGAGGCTCAAAGGCTGGGCCAAGGGGTGCAGAAGTGCTCCCCTATCCCTTGTGCTCTCAAAGGGGAAAACCACAACTCTCCGGGGTTTCACAAAAAACTCTCAGCAACTGCACCCTAACTTCCATTCGCTGGGGAACAGCTTTTCCAAAACGTTACCTATTAAAAGGGGAAACGAGCAGAGATTTTTTCCTAACTCATATGACATGCTAAATGTCACTTTTTAAAGGAACAGGATGCATGAATGCTTATCAATTCACTGTTAACCAACCCACAGCCTTCCTCTCACTGTGGACCAAAATCTCAGCCTCAGCAGGCACACCGAGGCACAGGCACTGGAGGAAGACTCGCAGTGACGAGGGCAATGCCTTTTCCTGGTGCCGCGAACAAAGGACCAGATGACACTTCACAGAAAGCATTAGTTCCCAGGCTTTCTTGAAACAAAAAGACACCCAAGCAGCAGGCCCTCTATGGAGCAAGCAAGCACACTACTTCCTGGTTGCAGCCTTTCCCATCTCCCGCCCGCCCGCCCACCCGTGTGGCATAGACCCACTTTCACTTCCTCGCTCAGTCCAGTTTCTGTTTCTGACTCCAGTCCTCACCTACCAGTGGGAACATTCTCTGACGAGGATGACACTCACTGGAATGGGAACCTGACCAGACAACGCACTGTAAGCACATGTGGAAAGAACATCTCAAAAGGAGATGTGGTGTGAAGGTTCAGCGTCTGAGGCTTCATCGGAAGAAGGAAAGCAACGCCAAGGACTTGAGGGCTGGAGGAGCAGGGAGCGCGCAGGCGGGAGAGAGGAAACACGCCCTCTGGTCTGCGAGATGCAGGGCAAGCCCGCACCACGGGTGGGAGCCTTAGCAAGCCGTTCCCAGCACTTCGTGCACCCTTCCAGACCACCCTCCTTATCCGGTGCCGGGAAGGGAAGGCTGAGCGTGCTCATTCACTGCAGAAAGTGGCTCCCCTGCGACCTGGAAGTCAGCAGATTTGGGTTCCAGTTTCTGATTTGCTACCAGGTCACAACGATTGTAAGCAGCAAGTCACCGCACCCCTCTAGCCTCCATCTTTTAACGGAAATATCATCTACGCCACTGTATTGTTTTGGAATCAAGCGAGGAAGAAGTTGTAGGAGAGCCCTGCCAATGGCCAAGCGTTACGGTGTGTGAGTGTCCTTAACTCAGCAGGGCCGGGGCTCTTGCAGCGGGCAGAGAAGCAGCAGAGGCTGGAGTGAGAAAACAGGAGGCCCAGAGGAGAGGCGGGTGGACAGGATAGCAGGGTCCCTTGCCTGGTACAGCTTTATGTGCTGCTCGTGAGGAAAGTGCAGAGTGGACACAAACAGGTGGACAAAGTTACTCTTCAGGCCTTTTGCATGAAGATTTTCAGCCACAATTTGGCTCACAAAATTCTTGCCGGTGCCAGCCGAGCCGTGCAAGGAAAGAGTCAGTGGTTTCTTGGGATTGTCGTTGCTCCTGAAGCCAGTCAGCGCCTTGAGAATCACCTCTGCGGCCAGGTGCTGCCCAAACAGCTTCTCCTCCAAATCCAGCTTGAGGGCTGCAGGAGCCAGCCCGAGAACAGAGAGAGAAAGGCACGTTAAACCTGCACCAGCAAGGCGGCCTCGTCTCCGCCGGCCAGAGAGGCACCAGGGCACGGGGCCCAGCAGGGTCTCTGCCGGACCCCAGGCTGGCCCTGCGGCGGAACACGGGCTGCAGTCACACGGCGCCACTTGCAGGGAAATGCACCAGATGGACGAGTGTCCTCAACACTCTGGGCTCTGACACGCAGGCCACACATGTCCCTTTATCCAAGGACTAGCCCTCTCTCGACTGAGCTGCACGCTTCCCGCGCCACCCCGCTGGCTTGTCAGAACGCCCGGGCCAGATGTGGGCATCCTGGGTGAAGGCCACACATCTGCAAACCACTGAAGGTTCAGCTGAGTCAGAAGGGCTGCCCATGCTGCTTTCAGTTTCTTTCTGCTCTTCCTGATGTGATCCCAGGGGTCACAACGCCAACACGGGGGCGTGGACAGGAAAGGGACCACGTATGACCTTGACCAGGTCAGGGAGGCCGGCATGGCAGGCCCCACAGACTCACAGTGCTTCACAGGTTTGAATGTTCTCCCTTAACACCTTCTCCCGCCTCCCTGATCTGTCACCAGCGAGCTTCACGGGACCCCCTTCCGTCTTCCCCTCTGACTCTGATGCAGAAAATAAGCGGTAAAGCTGCCACTTTCGGAGCATTTCTCAAGCCGGTGGGAATTGTCGGTTTGTCTCAAACACATTCGTAAGGATCCTGACACGCGTGGACGCTCCTGACGTCGACAGGAGGCGCGGCTCCCAGGGCTGCGGTCCCGACCGAGGCCCCACCCCCCCAGCCTCCCCCACCTCGGGGCCCGGCCCTCGCGCCCCTCCAGCCCACCCGCCGACCCGCCTACCGGTCGCGTTGAGCGGCCGCTGCTTGCCGCAGCACTCGGCGAAGCGACAGTACAGGTCCCGGTAGGAGAGGTAGCCGGTGATGACCGACGCGGCCCCGATGGCGATGCCCACGCTGATGGGCTCGATCGCCGCCACCGCCTGCGCCGCCAGCAGCAGCCACAGCGCCGCGCCGCTCCCGAGCCGCCCCGCCGCCCGCATCGCCCCGCACGCCACCCGCACCGCCCGGCTCGCAGCTTCCACTGCCTCGGCGCCGCCGGCGCGGCGGCCCAGGGACCGGCCGCACTTCCGGGTGCGTCACTTCCGCCGCACAGGCCCGCCCACCCCGGATGTCCGGCCCCGCGCCACCCGCTCCGGGAGTGGCAGGCGAGGTGTCCGGCGGCTCTTCGCTGGGGTGAGCCCGCGCCTGGCGCCTTCGGGCTTGTTTTCTCGCGGTCCCCGTTGGCCCCCGGCGTCCCCCGTCAGGCCCCTCGGGTCCCCCCACCGCCTTTCTCCCCGAAGCGGCTCCGTTCCCGCTGCGGCGCGGCCAGGCCCCTGGCGGTGCTGGGAGGGCGGCGGCGGGGCCGCGGGGTCCGGCCTCGGGGCTTCTGGCCGCGGGGGAGGCGGGCGAGGGGCCCCGGCCGCCCTGGGCGGAGGGCGAGCACCGGCCGCGGGGCAGGAGGCCCCTGTCTGAACTGAGAGTTCGAGTTCGCCAGGTGCGGAGTGAGGACCGAGTGTCATCCCAGAATGAACAGCCTGATACACGCAAGGGGCAGTCCCCCATAATTGGTCTTTTTAAACAAAATATTGTTATTGCTTTCAGAAAGGAAGGGAGAGGGAGAGAAATAGAAACATCAATGATGAGAGAGAATCATCAATCGGCTGCCTCCTGCACGCCCTCTGCTGGCGATCGGGGCTGCAACCCGGGCACGTGCCCGTGACCAGAATCGAACCCGGGACCCTTCAGGCCACAGGCCTACGCTCTATCCACTGAGCCAAACCAGCCAGGGCTCATAATTGGTCTTGTCAATGCGCAGTGTCCTAGTGCCCATGGTCTGTTGCCCTCACCAGCCCCGTGCCAGGGACGTCTGAGCCCACTCATCACCCTCCAGGTCAGCTGACCAGTGAGGATGCTGGCTTTGGCCACACCCACCCATCTACCTGCCCCAGAGTGCTCTGTGTCTAAGGACGAGTTGGAGTTGTCATTTCCACTGGATGTTTATGATAAAGATTGGACCTGTTTACACATCTGTGGTGCAGCTCTTCCATCTCCCAACTATACAGTAAACTGTAGTGTCACCCTGTGGGGTTCCCGTGTGTCCTGAGCCTTTTTGGATGGAACCACCGTCCTCCAGCCCTGTCTGAGGGCTTTGTCCTGGGCCTGCCAGGTCAAAAAGAAAAAAAGAAGCAGTATTAGCAGAAGAATACAGAGTGGCCCATGAAAATGTGAAAAATGTTGAGTGACCGAGGATCCCAGGGGCGAGGGGTGTAGGCCTCAGAGGCAGGACCTGCCAATCCCGGCCCCCTTGTTGGGGAGAGAGTCTGATCAGACCAACCTGGTCAGCAGCCACCAGCAGGAATGTTGCTGCCCCTGGCTTCCTGCCCCACCCTGTTTCTTTTTAAAAAATATATATTCTTGCCCTAACCGGTTTGGCTCAGTGGATAGAGCGTCAGCCTGCGGACCCAAGGGTCCCAGGTTCGATTCTGGTCAAGGGCATGTACCTTGGTTGCAGGCACATCCCCAGCAGGGGAGTGTGCAGGAGGCAGCTGCTGGATGTTTCTCTCTCATCGATGTTTCTAACTCTCTATCCCTCTCCTTCCTCTCCGTAAAAAATCAATTAAAAAATATATTCTTGTTCATTTCAGAAAGGAAGGGAGAGGGAGAGACATAGAAACATCAATGATGAGAGAATCATTCATCGACTGCCTCCTGCGTACCCATCACTGGGGATCAAGCCCAAAACCCTGACATGTGCCCTGGCCCCGGAATTGAACCATGACCTCCTGGTTCACAGGTCTATGCTCAGTCTTGGAGCCACACTGGCGGGGCTGCTTCTGGGTGTTTAGATCCACATTGGTTTTAAGACTGTACCCTCGGACTTCATCAACTGTCCGAGCCCATGGTGGCTGCCATCGGCGTCACTGTCGCTGGAAGGCGGGCCCCTTCTCCACCGCCCACTGCCCTCCGCCTTAGGCCGTCCCGCTCGCTTTACTCGCCTATGATTGTCCGCTTGGCGCGCGCCGGCGGCGTTTAAACTTCCTCGGGAACAGGCAGAACCCCCAGCGTGGCTTGGCATGGTGATGCTGCTGTAGGCAGGGCTCTGCTGTGCTTCCGCGGCTGCCTGAGATTTTCAGGACCAGAGACAGCGCACCCTGCTCTGCACCTGTGTCCCAGGCAGCTCAGGCCTGAGGAAGGAGAGGCATCCCCTCGCTGGTGGACTGGGAACGCGCCCCGGGCGGGCTCCCGCGGAGGGAAACACGAGTGGGTGCTGGTGAGCTGCTGGTCTGAGGACTCAGAAACGGGGGTTCAAATCCCGACTCACCACCGCTGACCTTCAAAAGGTCACACAAGTGACAACAGAAAAACTAAAAAGCCTGGGTGATTTTCAGTGCCAGCTGTGTGCACGGAGCCCCGTTCTCATCCAGGTCCTGCCGGTGTGTATGTTACACAGAGAGGCGCTCGTGTGCAGAGGGGTGCGTGGTAGTTGGTGCCCCCCTTTTCTCGTCTTGTACGCAGTGATTCAGCGTTTATCTCTGTGAAATCCTGATGGATGTGCTCACGGGCTGCCAACCTGCTTAATAAGCAAATCATCCGAGGGAAGGAAATCTGATGTGCAGAGGTGCCCAGGGGCCAAGGGAGGGACCTGAGTCAGGACCGGAGCGCCCGCCTGTCTCCCTCCTCCTCCTCTCTCCCCATGTTTCCTCTGTGAGTCTGATCCGTTCTCCACACAGAACCAGGCTGTCACTGGGCTGGTCCAGACACCAGAGAGGCCACGCACCGCCTCTCTGCCCCTCCCCCCCCTCCAAACTCCCAGGGGAGGGGTTTGATTGGCCCAGCCTGGATCCCTCGCCCCTTGATCCAATCAGCTGCGGCCGGAGTTGGGGGTAGCGGTCCCTGGGGTGAACATGGCTGCCCCCACTGCGACTGTGGCAGAGGAAAGGGCTGTCCGCCCTCCAGTGGATGCCCATGGGCTCCCTCCACTAGGGCAGGCGACTGTGTGATAAATGCTCAGAAATACAAGCAGTCTTACCCCCGCACTCCCCCATGCAGTCTCCATGGCGGCCACGCCATTCGCACTGCCCAGTGTACTGCTGGGCCCTGCCTCCAGCACCCGGTGTGGTCAGTCATTCACCTGACGGTGCCCGGGGGCAGGCGCCGGGGAAGGGGAAGGAGGCAGACAGGGAGCTCCTCCAGGGGCTGGTGGACAGACAGCAAGCAAGGGACCCAGCCCTGGTCACGTGGACGCTGCGCTCCTGTCCAGATGGTGAGTCCAGGACACGGGCTTTAGCCTCTCTGGACCTCGGCTTCTTCACCGCAAAGTGGTCTCCGCTGCTCTGATCAGGGTCCTCGGAGAAGCAGACCAGCCGGGTGTGTTTATTCCGAGGGACTGGCTGTTAACCGTCAGGCCCTTCGACAGAAGCCGGGGTGACCTGCTCTGTGGGTGGCCGGGAGGGGGCTTGTCGAGAACAGCGAAGCTCCTCTGGCTTTGCCCGGCTTGCAAGCTTACAAGGCGGCCTGCCAGCCTCAGAGACGCCGCATGGACACGCGCCTCCCGGGCCGGAGACGGAGACCTTGTTTCCCAGGGCACCGCGATGCCCATCCATATTTGTGGAACGGATAGATGGCTGGACGCTCTTCAGTCCTGAGCGGCATACCCGGAAATGAAAGTCGCCCAGATCTTTTGGGGGAGCAACATCCTCCAGCGTCAGTCAGAGAGGTGAGGTGGCAGACAAGACCCGCTTGGCAATACCGGCAAGGCTAGAGCTGTGCGTGCCCGGAGTTCCCACTCTCCAAGCCTTTGTCATAGCACCTGAAGAAAAGCAAAGCATGGTACAGTCCGCTGGGGCTACTGGAAGGGCTACTGGACAAGGTGGCTGGGCCCAGGGCTCTGGCTGCCCCTGTTCCCACCCATCTTCCCACCTGGATCCCATTCATGGCAAATAGGGTGCAAAGCCCAGCCCTAGAGGGACCCATACTTTTCTGTCAGTAGGGTAACGAATAAGCATTTACTCCTACAATGGAATATTATATAACAGATAAATTGGATGCACTTGAACTATATGTATCAATGTCTATAAATCTCAGGAACCAGAGTTGAGTGAAAAAGAAAAAGTAGCAAAAGGGCATGCATAATACACCATTTTTTCCCTTTTTTCTTTTTCTTTTTTTTTTTTACAATATACAAAATCCATTACCAGATTGTAGATACAAAGTGATTAGCCATTTACATGCAATAAGCATTAATATTTTAAGAAAAACGATTTTAAATATAATATTACATGCAACTTTTTAAAATGTATTTTTATTGATTTTAGACAGGAAGGGAGAGGGAGAGATAGAAACATCAATGATGAGAGAATCATTAATGGGCTGCCTCCTGCACGCCCCCTACTGAGCCAAACCAGCTAGGATATAATACACCATTTATTTACACATTGTTGATGGATACATTCATGTGTAGTTAAAGTGGAAAGAAAACATGCAATGGCTGGCATTGCTCAGTGATTAGAGCATTGGTCTGAGGACTAAAGGGTCCTGGGTTCGATTCCAGTCAAGGGCATATACCTCTGTTACAGGCTCAATCCTGAGGCCTGGTCGGGGTGTGTGCAGAAGGCAACCAATTGATGTGTCTCTCTCACATCAATGTTTCTCTCTCTGTCTCTCTCCCTCCCCTCCACTCTTTCTAAAAATCAATGGGAAAATATCCTCGGGTGAGGATTAACAACAACAAAAAGAGAGCTGAGGGAAATATGGCAAAATGTAACATCTATTACTTCTGGAGTGTTATTTCCTTTGACGAAATAGTTTATAATTAAATAAAGGCGTTAAAGTAGCTCCAGAGAGGTTCCTGATGACGCCTGGAGAATCTGGCCTCTGGTAACCTGGAGGGTGTGCTGTTTTTGTCCTGAGACAAAGGCTAGAAGGCATTCATTTCCCCAAATCTTGTCTCGCCTGCTTTCAGGAGGCTGGTGTGCTTCCCACATGTAACCACTAGATGGCGCCAGCACACAGGGTTATAAATGGGAGCCCTTTTTCTTTTCTTTTTTTTCCTGTTTTTCTTTTTTTTTTTTCTTTTGCCTCAGCAACTTGCAAC